ACAATCTAACCAATAAAATACTTTATATAAGAAAAAGGTTTCTGTTTTTATCCTTTATTTATATTTTATGCGTTTTTAAATCATTGCTCTTAAAAATATTTATTTTTTACTTTATGACACTATTTTTTCGGATACACCAAGATTACTATTTTATCAAATCAGTTAAATATGGGTAAAAAAAAGAAAACGAGAGCTGAAACAAAAATTAACAAAATAACTACAGAAACTCCAACCGATTAAATAAAACACGATTTGGATAAAGTTCTGTCTGCTAAAAAAAATATGGGCCCCCAAAAGGCCAACAAACTAGCATCTCTCAATGCCATTCTGAGTTAACTAGAAGCTAAAATGGAAGAGTGGCCAAAGGACACCCTACCAAGCCATGTTAAGTATATGGAAACAGATGTCGAGAGGAGGCTGGGATAACATAAAAGATTTCTATGGGAAGAAGTTTAAGAGTAGATGTCAATCTGATGATGAAGAAAAGATCAACAAAGGTGGTGATAAACGAGGCAGAAAGTCTCACTATAGTAAGAGAATACAAACTAAAGATTTACGTCAAGAGGATGTAGACCCTTGATGAAATAGCAAGACTGGTATCTTACAAGGATATTATCAAGCAGAATGAAGTGGAAAAACAATTTAAAAAGTTTGGAATCATATTAAAGATGTCGAGGTAAAATAATGTTGTACATTATTGTATAAATTTTTAATATTTTTTACCCCATACAGGAAGAAAACAAAGTTAGTAAAAGTGTTATTGATAAAAAATAAAGAAAAAGTAAAATTGAATTAAAAGAAAAATATGCCTAACAAAAGTGGACATAAACGTCATTAACTCAATAAACAATGCAGTTGATAATGTAATCAACAATATTTTATGAAAGATGTGGCTAAACTGCTACAAGTATCTCAGATATGCTACCAAGAAATAATAACAAAAGAGGCCAAGAAAAGCATATGGAAAGAGAATATTGCGAAATAATAGAGGACTTTAATAAATTAAACGACCTTATTAATAAGTATAGGAAAATAATCAAAAAATCAGTGAACAGGAAATTGAAGAATTCCAGAAGTAGTTTAGATAACCAAATTTGATACATAATAAACTCAAAGGTGTTGAGAAAATGGTCATGTACATAAATGAAAGAATAATGATACACAGGAGAAAATACAAGATCATTAAAGAAGAAGACTATCTAGAAAAGAGAATAGCAAATTTAAGTTATATTTAGTTCGATTCTACAGAGACCTTTAAAAAGATGTTAATGAGCCAGAAGAAGCAACGAATGAGAGACTAAAGCGTGAAGAAATTTAAGAATTCGGGTTAAAAATTTGAAAAGAAACTGAAGAAAGAAGAGAGAATATGTATGCAGATCACCCACTGAACTATAATTTAAAAATCGAGGGTGACCTTGTATTTTTCACGGAAGAAGAATTCCTAGCTACAATAAAGAAACTGCTTAAATAAAAAGACTGCCTGGGTCATTAGAATATTTGACTTTTTTTGAAAAAGATAGACACGATACAAGGAGAACTGTATGTACGTGAAAAACATATGTCTTGAAGGAAAAGAAGAAGAGTTGCTCTACAAAAGTATCACATATTTGATACTGAAAGGAACCTCCGTATCTGAAAAAGACTATTTTTTAATTATCCGTATGTCGAATTTATATAAGCTAACAACGAATTTGGCAAAGCACGCGCTGCGGAGTATTGGAGAGGCAAATTTACTATTGCGTGAAAATCAAATGGGAACAGTCAGGAGGGTACTAGGGAAAAAGCGCTTACGAATATAATTCTTAATAAACATCACGATTACAAACTTAAGACCGCGTGGGTAGATTTTAAGAAAACGTATGATTCGGTAACACACACGTACCTCAATGTGTGCATGAAAAGTCTATTAATACCAGAATAAATTATTTGCTCGATTAAAACCCTGTTAGGAAAATGAACTCTTGAAATAAAAGTTGGAAAAGAAGCTATTTTAAATAAAAAACTTGACGGAGGAATTCCACAAGTAGATGGCTTATCTCCACTTCTTTTGTGTTGTTCACGGATTCGCTGAGTAAGAAGCATAAAGGAATATACCTGAAGGTGGAGGTCGAGACCGGAAACGAAATGTCCGCATGCAGCCGTCTCTTATTTATCGAAAATTTAAAACTATTAGGTAAAAAGGAAGAAGCACTAAATGAAATGATGATAGAAGCACAAGAATTTCTCTAGGAGGTTAGATTGGAGTTGAATTTAAAAAATCTGTTACAAATGCCAAGATATGTAAGGACAACATTAAACCCTTATAATCATACACGAGATCTAAGTACATAGAGAACATTGAATACTTAATAGGTAAAATGATTGGAGAAAATAAAAGTGGATTTATGACGCTATAGTGAAAAGACTACGCTTTAAAAATTTTTAAGGCGATTAATGGATGTAGTACCTCACCGATTATCTATTTTGTAGGTAAAATAGATGGAGCCCAACGAATATAAAGCGTTAGATGATAAGATTGTGAATTTTAATAAAACATCTCATACTCCATCGACCAGCCTGTAAGGAATAGCTGTTTTTACATTTACGAAGAAATAAGCTAGGAAAAGATCTAAACAATGTAGAATTTAGAAGCGAAAAGATGTTATTACAATTATTTACGGCTTTAGCTAGCACAAGAGAATTTATAATGAGGAGACAAGCTATACTTAAAGCAGAGAAAGATATTAACACACATCTATCTAAAAATAAGACTTTTCTAAAGTTTAAATATAAGCTGGAAAACGAAGTCCCCCGGGAAAAATTCGAAGAAGTTTTAAGGCCGACATTAAATAGTGATATTAAATACAAAAATTACCGCATAAAACTATATAGAAATTGAGAAGACTCCTTAATTAGTGTAAATGATTTTTCGATATGTCTCACAAAAAATAAGACCACACCTAGAGAAGAAGCAGCACTATACGGGCTCCAAGACAGAAACATTTTTTTTAGAAGAATGCAACGTGTCCCCATTGTAACGAGAAAGTAAAAACAATCGACCACGTGACAGCTTAGTGCGAGAGAGTTTTGCACATGATTAAATGTGAAGGCATGACAAGGTATTAAAATGCATCCATCTACAAATTTGTCGCACTTACGGCATGACAAAAAGTATAAAGATAGGGAATCATTTGGTGGAAACATGTATTGCCACCAAAGACACAAAAATGAAGATCGACACCAGGATTCAGAGTATAATCAAGGTCAAGTAAATAAGCCTGATATATATAATAGACAAAATAAGGAAGAAGATTATAGTTGTAAAGATTGTGATTACTAGACTTGACAATCTAAGAACAGCAGAATAGAAAAGAAGCACAAGTGTGACCTCTTAGCAAACCATGAAGCTTCTATGTACAAATATAAATCAATTATTATTCCGTATGTGGTCACGTGGGATGGTATGGTTACTAATATCACCGACAACATAGAAATGAGCTAAAGCTGGAGAGCCGAATTGAAGCTTACATTCAATCCAGAATACTTAAAATAACATTTGAAAGCCTGACTATGGACATTCACCGAAAGGTGTACACTAAAGTAGATGCAGATAGAGAAGAATATGTTGGGATGAAGAAACCCATAGAATTGAATTGCGGAACGGGACACCTCAAAGCCTGTGCATAAAATTAGTAAATAATTATTTATACCAAAATAAATTGTATTCTTAGTTATTACATTTTAGCATTAAAAAAAGAATTTAAATATTATTTTACAATCTATAGCACAAAAATCTTAAAAATTTTTAATATTTGTATATAAGCAAATTTAAGCATTATACTACAAATTATACTGAAAATAGGTGTTATTTAAAAAACGGACATTTTTTAAAAAATTATAATAATCAATTTTTGAAATATCGTTGTTTGTTTTTCATTTTAAAAAATGTTTGAAATGTGTACAACCAATATAAGTTATTGAATTGGTTAAATCTACTATTTAATTGTTTTCTGATCAATAATTATAACGATTGACACACAAGTTAAGCTCTTTACGGTTTAATATTACAAAGGTAAGGTTTATGCATATAGGCATTATGTATGTTTTAGGTATGAAAAAATGCTTTTTACTAGCCAATTTTATTACAAAAAAATAAATGAATTATTAAAAAGTAAACGCAATGATCAAACCATCATATAACATTATATAAACAACTTTTTAAAGATTTTATTGTTGATTAATCTTTTTCTCAATACTATTTTTCAATTTTAATAGTCTTATGTATAAAAAACTGAATCTGCGGTGCATACTAGATAGTAACCTGTTAACTTCATAAAAATCACAACAAGACATACGACAAAATCCAACACCAACCTTATGTATACTTTTACAAATCGATTTAAAAGTTAAAAGTTTTTGAGACACGCCTGCATACCCGCTAAATTGATTAAATGCTAGATTTAATAAATTTAAAAATTCTTTCTTATTTTTCTTTTTCTTTGTATTAATATAAATTTCAGATATAGTTTTTAAAAAACTTAAAAGATTTTTTAGAGCAAAAATTGATTTTTGTTTCAAGTCATCAGAAAGATTGGATATTTCAAGTTTCTTAATAAATTGCGGTATTTGATTTTTAATTGTAAGCTTAAAAAACATTCTAAACTTCTTTTCAGAATTCTTGTATTTTTTATAAAGTTCGCGCTCGTTAGCTGTAAATTGATTTTTTAAAATTGTTTTATAAGTTTTTCTTTTTCTTTTAGACTTAGATGCAATTTCATCGCCGTTTGTTTGTATATTAGATACTTTGTTAGTTTTTGGTTTTGTCTCTTTATCTTTTTCGTTATTATCATTTT